GTCAATTCCCCTTCTATCCTCCCTAGTCATTGTCCAACTCTCTAATGCACACATGATCTCAATACTGATAAAACAATAACTATATTGTTTTATATTTATAAGACATGTTTCTAATTTGTATATTGACTCTGTCTAGCAATCCAAAACATTTTTTATACAAATTTTAAAACCAACAATCTGTTTCCATTAAAAAAATAAATAAATAAATAAACAAACCTAAGAATTAGCATGCATGTTTAATATACTATAAAGTACTTTCATGGTACCTTACCACATATACAAAATAAAACCAAGCTAAGCAGGGCAGATATTTCTATTTTGCAGGTTAAATGAAATGGATTTGAACTTTCCTGCTTTTTTTATATATACCTTGGGGCCTGTGATAGCATTTCTCCTAATCCTATTACATAAACCTATGCTCATATTTTTCTTTCAGATGATTCAGACTGAAATATATAAGAACTAGGATACTAATATTGAAACTGCACTGTGAGATGAAAAGAAGATCTACAACCATGAACCAAAGAAAAGATAATTACCATCTTTCTAACAACTGAGTCAGGATCAAGAAAACAGGAAAAAGAAAGACACAACATTACTATCTCAGTTTAAAATAGTGACATGTTATCCTTGGAAAAGGACATCATGCTCAAAAGGGTGGACGGACAGTGCAGGAGAGGAAGACCCTGAAGAGATGGTCACTGGGACAATGGAGGTAGATGTGCTGGAGTCAGTGAGACCGACTCAGGACAGGGCAGGCTTCAGAGATGTTATACATAGGGTCACTATGAGTCACAGGTGACTTAACAGCATACAACAACAACAATCAAGTGTACTTCTAAAGCATGTTTTTGAGTTCTAATGAAAACTTCATTCAAAGAATGGGTATTATGAATCTGTCTACAAAAGTTACACAAATCATACTGGCAGTAACTATGGGAGGGTACCCTTTTCTTAGAAGATCTGTAACCTCTAGTTTGTTGTTACAGCCTTCTTTTGAAAAAGAGGTACTCTCATGGTTTCAAAGAAAAAGTTATTTTTTACTGTTACATACATACTTATAATAGCATCCTATAAATATTTATGCAGTGTGTTTTCATTATGTATTCTCTCTAATTTTTATTACTAGATGCAAGATAAAAGATAACTGAAAGGACCCACTCCTAAAATTTATGTAAACTAAAAAAAGAAAGGAGCATTTTATTGTATAAAACTTTTATTGATCACTTCTACTTGCTACTATTCAAAGATGAGAAATTTTGCTCAGTGAGGTGCTTATCAATTTATATGCAAATACTCTCAAAATTCTAAACATTTCAACTAATGATAGAAACTTTTCTAGATTTTAACTTCTCAAAAGTTTTTAAACAAAGGAAGATTATGATACACATTTCTTGATGATTCAAAGAATACACTATTCTATGGATAAATGGGGGTCTATCCAATACTTTGAAGCTACAGAAAGTAGCTTTAAGCAGAAGGGTGATCCTCGGAGGCACAACTGGTGAAACTTCGTCTCCCATACTTGGGACATGTTGTCAGAAGAAGACAGTCCTTGGGAAAGGACATCATCCTGGGAAAGGTGGAGGGTCAGAGAAAGAGAAGACCCCCTAACAAGATGGATCGACACAGGGACTGAAACACTGGGCTCAAACATAGTAAGAGATGATGAGGATGGCGCCTGATGGGGCAAGGTTAAGATCTGTTGTTCATACAGGGTCACTACAAGGTTTAGTCAACCTGATGGCACCTAAAATCAAGTGAAACTTCTATCTCTTGCAACAATTTTTCCTGCCATTAACTTTATCTCTACGGTTTCTCTTTCTAATTTACTTCTCTTAGCTGACAAAGGTTTATAAATCAACCAAAAATTTTTATTTTTATTATTAGCTAAATCAGTGAGCACAGCCCCTTTGGAATGAATATCTGATATGGGGACTAAGGAATGATGCTATGTTATTTATAGGAAACTGCTTTTAAATTTGGGACTAAACTCTTGAGAAACGATCCCAACCAGAGAATCTTCAGTAAAGTCACATTACATCCATCACATTGTTATCAATTAACATGGAAAACATAAATGGATGGATTACGTAACACTTTTTACATTGGTATTGATATGTAGTTGATAAAGAAAAATGTCCATAATCTACCTAAGGATAATTTTGATAGATATATAATTTCTGGTAAAACATCTACTGCACTTCTAACAGACACTCTGAAGGCATTAACCTTTTGTGGTTAATTGCTTTAGAAATTACCCTTAGACTGAAGATGAAAGATTATTAGACACTAACATACAGAAAAATACTTACTCATTTCTGGTTCAGCAGTGAGATCTGCAGTCACAAAATTTGAGGGAAATAATCCCATGCCTTGATGTGTTTCACCTTTCCACCAGTTGGGGTCACTACAATGAATAAAAATTGTGCTTCATCAGTTAATACTTTTCTCTCCTAAGTGTTTAATATATCACTTATATTACCACCAAATTTGAATCTCACAATAATCCAATGAAAGAGATCATAAGTGTTTCTTCACTATAAGCAAGATACAACGTCTCAGAAAAGTTACTAAAAACCCAATTAATTCCTTGTCTTTTTGAAGGTTACGGAATCTATTACAAAGCCATGCATTCTCTATCCAAAAAAGGCCCCATACTTCGCAAGCCCTCTCAACACAACATATATGATAGAAAACACCATATGTAGCAGAAAATATTCACAAGGGGTACCCTTTCAAGGGGTATAACCATGGTTACGGCTCTTACAATGCTTTATCACCTCTCCTATGATAATCTAAATGTCTAATTCCACCTATGATTCATGTGATCCATATAGATAAACTGTTTTCATATGAAAATAGTTCACAGAAGAATATATAACATCATGTGTTTCTTACAGATTAACATAGAAGCATTCTATATATTTTCTAAAATACTATCTTTCACTAATTAAACAACTTGGAATAAAAACGGAATGACTTCAATTTTGAAACCAAAATCTATTTAATAGAAATAAAAATAAAATAAAAATCTAGGCAATATAACCCAGGTAAAGCTTTACTGTAATAAAAAAAAAATCGGACAACATTCTATATTACTTTATGGAATGTGAAATAAAACTTAGAAATGTTATGCATTTTCCTAGGAATATTCTATTTTCATATTATTAATTTTAACCATTACCTATCATCAAGAACTGTAATAATTTCTCCTGCTTTAAAAGTAAGTTCATTATCTTCAGCTGCTTCAAAGTCATATATAGCACGAACTTTTCGACCTTCATGTTGATGGTTAGTTAAGAGATTGGATGTGCTTGGATACAAACTAGAAAGTGTGGTTGGCTGTTGCCTTTGCTCCTTTAGGGACAACTCAATAGCTGAAAAAGAATGGTTTTAGAAGACCCAAAGTGTTAATATATCAAAAATACAAAGGACAAAAAAGATACCTGAAAAGAACTTAAAAAATTTTGAAGTAGTCTTCTATTAAAAATTTTAATGGAAACTAGGAAATGAAATAATAGACTTTCATGATATAGACTAAGAATCATGATATCAATTTTACTCATTCATTCATAAAGTTAAAAACATTAAACAGTACTTTCACTTTTTCTAATGATATATTTAAATTATTCTGAGTAATGAAAAGACTTAAACTCCTAGACATCTTTTTTTTAACTTAGCTGCTGATAGATTTTCTTCTTTATCTTCCAACTTTTAATGTATTCTTTTTTTTTTTTTTTA